AAAAATAAAAGTATACAGAAAATGCAACTTAAATAAATAAAAATATAGGCTACAACCAACTGTATTTAATGTATTGTGCCCAAAATTGAATGACCTTTTTTTTTAAGATATATGAAAACATTTGAACAGTTGCTATACTTGCGCATTCAGTTGATCAGCAGTTCCATGCAGCCTTTCTCTCGGGTTTTATGACAGCTGTCATAACCCTAACCTTTTATGGTAGTAGAACATTAAAGCATTACAATCTAAAATTGCTCTTTGACGCTTTAAAACATTAAAAACACTAAATTGCACAGCAGCGCTCGTTCACTCACCTTACCCACTCCTGACAGGTAAATGGATATGTTTGCATGACTTTCTAACATTTACAGATGAAGAGTATAACTGTGACATGTCCGTTATGCACGGGGGTCAACTTGGATCAAATTAGTGAGATTGCGTGAGATTGTTAGGTTATTTCAAGTCAGGTTTTGGACTTTAATTCCCGCTTTTCTTAGCGTCTTTTATGAAACTTTTATGACCCCGTTTGTATTGTTCACACTATGATACAGTCACAAAGTTTGAGTTTTCTTTGGGCAATTACCCAGCTAACAGGGAACATTCTCAGAACGTTCTGGCAATTCTGACACAATTCAGTAACATTAACAGAACGTTCATTCTGCGTTTTCTGGGACTGGTTACATACACTTAGCCACAATGTTATGACAGTGTCTCAAGAACTAGTTTGACTAACTATCAGTTAACTAAGAGGGAATCAGTATTACTTTTCGATTTCAAATTAGATCAATCTTCCATTTTATGTAACTGAATTTAAAAGTGACCAGTCTTGAAGAAAATTACATGACTAAATTTTAAGACTGTCTAAGTAGTTTCTAAAACCGGTAACTGGTCTTTAATAACTCATCTTCAAACTGGTCTTCAGAACTAGTGTTAATTTTGTTAACAATGACGACCTTTTCTCCATGACAATGACATCATTAAACACTAACTTTGACTATATCAACATGTAATATCGTTGACGAGAACAGACAATATTAAATGTAGGCAACTTAAAAAAAAAAAAAAGAACTTTATATCAAAAATCTCTCTATATTTTCTTGAACAAGTAGGATGAGAAAAATTATAGACTTTCATGAGTTTTCATACATGGGGTTACCAGATGTAAAACCTTTAAATCCTTCTAACAGAGGTTCCCTCACTGGACACATTTTCTCTCCAGTGTTTCACTTTATCTTCACAACCTGGCAACCATTCGCAAGCACAATCTCTAGACTGCAGAGAAATTTACTTATTTTAATAATAATAATAATAATAATAATAAACATGAATAATTTGAAATTATTTAAATTAATATTAGGAATGTCTCTGTTTTAGCTTTTGAGGGAAGCTTTTGAGTCTTACCAGTCAACTAAAACTTGACTATACAAAAACATCCTTACTAGTTACCACGTTTCATAACCAAGAAACCATGTTTGCATAACCAAGAAAAAAACTTTTTAAATCTAGATATTTTGAAAGTTCAGAGAACATTTAGAGAGAGAGAGAGAAAAAAAAAAAAACATGTTCATAACCAGGGGTGTGAAGTAACGAATTACAAATACTCACGTTACAGTAATTAAGTAGTTTTTATCAGTAATTGTACTTTCTTTAGTATAAAAAAATCTGATCATTTCCTGCTTTTATGAAGCCCCACCCTCAGAAATAGGCAATGGGCTCTGATTGATTAGCTAGCCCAGTGTCTTGGGATTGGCTAAACCGCCTCTAGTGCATGTCTAATCGTCCCGCCCCTCATCTCAGCGGCATGTGCTCCAGTTGTATTGTAAACAATGGCGTCGTCTATATTGCTTATCAGTTTGAGCCCGATTAAGAAGCAGAGGATATTATTAAAGAGGATCGTGCAGAACCTGTGCAAGCACGGCTTTTAATGGTAGGCCTATGTTTTTTGTTTGTTGTTGTCTCATACTTTTAGATATGCTGTTATTTGTAAATGCTACTGCT